ATTACACACACCAAAATGTAGTTTGTAAAGTAATCCAGTAAATTACTTAAAGTGAGTAATGTAATCTGAATACTTTGGATTACTTGATTTGCTGTAGAGAAGCAAAGACGAGGAAATCTTCACATAAGAAGTTTTGTCTGATAAAAGAAAATTTTAAAACCCAGACTTTACTTAATCAGATTAAAAATATTATTGATAGAAGAAGAGGAGACACGTCCACACAGCAGGATTTAGTCCTGTTAACTCCTGTTTTAGTCCTGGTTTAGTACTGGTTTAGTTCTGGTTTGGTTCTGGTTTTAGTCCTGGTTTAGTCCTGGTTTATTCCTGGTTTAGCTCTGGTTTAGACCTGGTTTAGACCTGGTTTGGACCTAGTTGAGACCTGGTTTTAGTCCTGCTTTAGTCCTGGGTTAGTCCTGGTTTAGACCTGTTTTAATCCTGGTTTAGACCTGGTTTAGACCTGGTTTAGATCTAGTTTGGACCTGGTTTTAGTCCTGGTTTAGTTCTGGTTTAGACCTGGTATAGTCCTGGTTTTGTGTCCAGCAATGAGTAAAATTACCAAGAAAAAAAAGAAAAGAAAAGGGATTTAGCCCAAAATGTGAAAACAGTAAAATCCCTCTGTGTAATCCATTTATTTCAACAAAGTAACTGTAATCCAATTCCCACTCACTGAAACAGTAACTGTAACTGAATACAGTTACTCATCATTTGTACTCTGATTACTTCTCTGGTACATGTAATCTGTTACTCCCCAACACTGATCACCACATGACATCACAAGGTGGGACAGAGTGTTTTCTGAGTGTTTGAGAGAAGAACTCAGGTTTTGTGAATAAAAAAAAAAACAAAAACACAACTCCAGGTCTGATTGTGACGAGGAAACGACACTAGAGCCGAGAAAAGTTTGATCTGGGGTAAAAGGAAACTGAAATCCGCGTGTGATTTTTTTCCTCCGCGCTTCGTTCGTTCTCACTTTTCCTGAAATGTGCGAAGGCTTGTCTGACTCTGGAATGTCTCCGTGAGAATTTATTTCTTTTTCTCAGAGTTTTGCCTGAAGGAAAATGGCAGCGTTTCCCAGACTCCTCGTTTTATTATCACCACACACATCACATCACACACGTCCCGGGTCAGCAGAGGTGACGCGAGCGGAAACACGAGCGGAAACACGAGAAACACGGAAACACGAGAGGAAACACGAGAAACACCGGAGAGGAAACACCGGAAACCGGACAGAAACACACGACCGGAAACACGACCAGAAACACGGAAACACGGAAACACGGACCGGAAACACGGACCGGAAACACGACCGGAAACACAACCGGAAACACGACCGGAAACACGTCCGGAAACACCACCGGAAACACGACCAGAAACACGTCCGGAAACACGACCCAGAAACACGTCCGGAAACACGACCAGAAACACGACCAGAAACACGACCAGAAACACACCGGAAACACGACCGGAAACACGACCAGAAACACGACCAGAAACACGACCGGAAACACGACCGGAAACACGTCCGGAAACACGACCGGAAACACGTCCGGAAACACGTCCGGAAACAGAAACACGACCAGAAACACGACCAGAAACACGTCCGGAAACACGACCAGAAACACGTCCGGAAACACGTCCGGAAAACACCGGAAACACGTCCGGAAACACGTCCGGAAACACGACCGGAAACAGGAAACCAGGACTAAAGGACTAAAGCAGGACTAGGACACTAGACTAAACTAGGACTAAAGACTAGGACTACTAGGACTACTAGGAGGACTAATACCAGGTCTAAACCAGGACTTAACCAAGACATTATATCAAGACTAAACCAGAACTAAACCTGGGACTAAACGTGTACTAAACCTGGACAGAAACCTGGACAGAAACCAGGACTAAACCAGGACTAAAACAAGACATTAAATCGAGACTAACCCAGGACTAAACCAGGACTAACCAGTACTGAAAATGAACAGAAAAGAACTAGATCTAATGCGACTAAACAGAACTAAACCTGGTCCTAAATCTTGACCAAACCTGGACTAAACCGGTACTAAACCTGGGCCTCAACCTGGATGAATTTGGAAAGAAACCAGGACTAAATCAGGACTAAACCAGGACTAAACCAAGACTAAACGGTACTAAACCTGGACCTAAACAGGATTAAACCTGGACTAAACCAGTACTGAAAATGAAAAAGAAAAGAACTAGATCTAATGCGACTAAACCAGAACTAAACCTGGTCCTAAATCTAAACTTAAACCTGGACAGAAACCAGGATTAAACCAAGACTAAACAAGGACTAAACCAGGTCTAACCCAGGACTAAACCAGGTCTAACCCAGGACTAAACCAGGACTAACCCAAGACTAACCAGGACTAAACCAAGACTAAACCAGGTCTAACCAGGACTAACCAGGACTAAAAGTCTAAACAGGTCTAAACCAAGACTACTAACCAGGACTAAACCAGGACTAAACCAGGACTACCCAGGACTAACCAGGACTAAACTAAACCAAGACTAACCAGGACTAAACCAGGACTAAACCAGACTAACCCAGACTAAACCAGGACTAAACAGGACTAACAGGACTAGGACTAAACCAGGACTAAACCAAAACTAAACCAGGTCTAACCAGACTAACCCAGGACTAAACAAGACTAACCAGGACAAAACAGGACTAAACCAGGACTAACCAGGACTAAACCAGGACTAAACTAACCCAGGACTAACCCAGGACTAAACCAGGACTAAACCAGGACTAAACCAAACCAGACTAAACCAACCTACCAGGACTAAACCAGGGACTACTAAACCAGGACTAAAGGACTAAACCAGGACTAAACCAGGGCAAACCAGGACTAAAAACTAAAGACTAAACAGACTAAACCAGACTAAACCAGTAACTAAACCAGGACTAAA